AAGATAATGTAATACAGCAAGCGAGTGAGAACACCAATGCTGATTCACTTGGTGGTTACTATGTTACTATGGTTACTTCCATTTTCTATTTCATATTCAGCCCTAGAAATCAAGTAGGCTCTAGATGAGTGTAGTTGACACTGAGCAGAGAATTAAGATCTACAAACAACAGATACAACTTTTCAAGAGCATCCTTTCAAGTATTCCGCAAAGTGAGCTTGTCTAGATTATTCCATCACTAACATTTTAGCCATGTTTTTCACCATATCACTACCCATCTGTTCACACTCAGGCAAGAGGCAAGACAATCTTTCTGTAACTAATACATCTAAACCCCAGACAGCAGATCCTGACTAAATATGGTAAGTAACAGTTAGCAGATAGCAGAGTGCTTCAACAACACACAGTGTGTGATTCTACAGGTTCAGTATACAGTATAATCCTTATACAAATGGTAAACAGACCCATGGATTTAATTTACAACATGAATCAAATAAAAACAAACACACTACATGACGCAGGAGAGTGTACAATTTCAGCCTTCATCCCATCAGACTGTGAGAAAATGACAGTGAAAATGCCTGCCACCCCCTAATCCCAGGGGAATACTTTGAATGTGTATTGATGACCTAAAAGGTCAGTGTTACATGTTACATTACGCAAAGGGTTAGCCCCTTTGCCATGAGGGAATAGCAGATAAAACAAGGTTTCCATTGAAGCCATGTGTTACTTACACACCTTCACCAGGACACTAGCATATCCATCAAACCTGATGAACTAATCCCAATACAGCTTGTGATAAACAATTATGTTCTGCTCATCTCTCTCTCCTCACAAAGCCAGAGGGATGCTACAACTACATTAAATATGCTCTCCACATTTCCTTCATCTTTGTGTACTACAATTATTATTTATTTATTTTATTTTACTTCTACTCAACATGGATTATAGCACCAGTACCAATCATCGTGGCATTTTTAAACCAACTACTGATCAATAACAAATGATTATGGCTTGACAATCTCAAAATCTCAGCTGCATATATAATGTGCACTGTATAAACTACCAGAAAAAGTTGTTCCAAGCAGTGACTTGGTTATGGGCCTAATAACATTCTGTATGAGTTATATTTACATGTACAAGTACATTTTCATTTTGTTGTTATTCTTATACTACACATGTATTGTTATATTTTTTATTATACCCAGCATAACATATTTAAGATACAATTTATACAACAGTCCCTTGAATAAACAAATGATTGAGCATTATAAAACTAACTAAAGGGTTTAGTAGGTTCTCCTAAATTAAGTTATATCTCAATAATAATAATAAATCATCCTTGGTTGAATGAATGAGATTGCAGAAGAAGAGTTTTATTTGATTCGTTCTTTTTCATTATAAATTACTTATGTTTATTCTTTATTTCATAGAAAAAGAAGGCCTTCAAAAAGATTGAAGGTCGTCTATGCAGTTAATTCAGATATTAATCCTACAATATAGTAAACTATCAACGTCTTCTCTTGATCCTGAGATTATGTCCGTTTTGAGGTGAACCAGATTTGATTGACTCAAGTTTTGGCGCAGAATAAATTCCCCTTACATTCCACTGAATCAGTCATCATGCGGGATTTTAAAACGAGGAGGGACGTGATGCTTCGACACGACCAAGCAATGAAGAGGAGCTAGCTTTATGTAGCCTAGCCTACTTGTGTATGTATGTATGTATGTATGTATGTTTATGTATGTACAGTATGTATGTATGTATGTATTTGTTTGTTCTATTCTAGTCTAAAAAAGAGACGTGTGTAGGAGTGTGCATGTGAGAGAGGGAGAAAGAGAGAGAGGGAGAGAGAGATGGAGCGAGAGAGTGCACATCTGAAAATGTATAATATTTATTTTTGTTAAATTTGTGTAAATATAAAACGGTGTAAATGTATATATTTTATAATTGCATCATGGTGGTGATAAATGGGATAAATTCACATGAACGGGAGAAGGCAACGGGGATTTAATAATTGGTTTAAAAAACATTGAGGTTAAAGTGTAAAGTGGTAAGTCATAGTGCGAATAGATGAAAAGAGGAAGAAGAATATGTATAGGTAGAGTTTGATTCATACATCCAATTTGGGATGAATTTGGGATTTGAATCGAGCAACTCTTAACCCCCGGGTTCACTTACCAGAGGCACAGATAAAAGACGTCGTCCTCGTCAATTAGCCGGGAGCCAGTGGGAGCGCTGATTGCCAGAGGCGTTAACTCGTTTTCCCTTTAAACGTCGTCCTCCTTTTAAGATAGAAAGTCCCCGAGGAGGGCTGGTGTTTGAATTTAATAAATAATTTAGCAATTTAAACGGAGAGGAGCAAGCGAGATGCAACAGATAACGATATCAGACACAATGATTTCCCACACAACACTGTAATGTATTAGGCTATTAATGTAGGTAAACAACCTCTGTGCGTTATTCGATAGCTATGGCTGCTCGTGCCACATTTATGATCAGGCTATTATTTTAGTATACGTGAGTTAATAATTATAAAGGCAGCCTAAAAAACGAAATGGCATATAGAAAAGTAGGCCTCCAAATGAGTATAGATTTCAATAGCCTAAAATTAGCACATTGCAGGGCCTTCGTAGCTTTTAATTTGCTTAATTTAAAGGCTATGTTTTATGACAATACAACATAAGAAAAAAATAACAAATGTAGTTTGTTTTTACATGACCTCTGACATGGCCTAATAATGAAACTTGCTTCGGATAGAGCCTTTGAATTTAAGGAGAGGCATGAGAAAAAGAGGGACCACTTTGAAAGCTTACTTTCATAATGGTTATACTTATAAACAAATTGCCTATATATATTTGTTTTTTATTACTATACCCAAAAGCACACCGGGACAGTCAAATTACTAAGGTTACATGGAATTGGCTAATTTGCTTCAAAAACACAAATTAAGAAAATGAAGAGAAAATACAGATACAGTATTAACAGATACCTGACAACTTGCCATGCCCCCATCCATCCCTCAGACAGAGAACGGCTGTAGACTGAAGAAACCCCCGTCATAAATTAGATCACATGTTGGAAAACTTTGGTCCAGTCGAGATGCAAACATGATGAGTCCGGAACAGAAGTTTGGTAGAGAAAAAAAAAAGACGATTTCCATTCATCAAAGTCTGTCAAAATAAATAACATTGATTTTAACATTAGTAAATGTTTTTGATTTTCAACGCGTAAAAACACAGGTCTAACGATTCAATACTGCACTTTTGACTTAGCCTAGGCTACTCTTAAGACTGCTAGAGAGGCAACTGACGATTCATAAAACCCACGGTCTGTCTCTGTTTACAAATCTAAATCAATATTCGAATCTGTTTGAAGTGAGCGGGTGTGTCCATGTGTGTGTGTGTGTGTGTGCGTGTGTGTGCGTGCGCGTGTGCGTGTGCGTGTCTCTGCGTGTGCGTGTCTATGTGTGTGTGTGTGTGTGTGTGTGTGTGTGTGTGTGTGTGTGTGTGTGTGTGTGTGTGTGTGAGTGAGTGAGTGAGTGAGTGATTGCGTGTATGTGTGTAGGTGTTCCTCAAAGCTCCTTAAGATGATACATTTACCAAGGCGTGCCAAAACCCTCGGCATATTGTTTTGGTGCGCCTACAGGTTTAACATTCAAGTGACGTAGGCTATTAGTTGTGGCTTGAGTCAATATCAATTAAGGAAATCAGTTAGACTTTCTGTTCTATTAACTATTCAACTATAGTACTTACGCCTAATTGTAAAAGTGAATAATAATAATAATAATAATAATAATAATAATAATAATAATAATATAGAAAATACTTACGTGATTTGTTTTTTGTAGAGGGATGCCATAAAGCTATTAAACCTATTACTATTTACACATATCATACATTTTTGTGAAACGATCATTCAAAATGTAGGCCTCTGAATAGCTTTGAAACAGAAAAATGACGTTTTCATTATTTACATTAATTTAAAATAACCATACCTTTGAGAGATAAAAACAGTTAGCGTTGATTTTCTCCTGAAGTGCATGTGGCCGACTGAGTTCTCCAGTCAATTCAAGGGTGCAGTAAAAATGCATCCACTGAAAGAAGTCGGATGTCACCAAACTCCTGCATGGATGGTCTTCTCTCTCTGTCGATGTGTTCCAGACACGACACCATGTCTTAACATGGCTGATATTAAAAGCTATTAACTTATTTTTGTAAATAAACCACCAGGAATTATTATTACATCTGGTAATAATATATAAGGGCCAAATCTTTGGTTAGTCCGCCTCGTATAGTATTCCCTATATCCTGGCTGAATTTTGTCATATCAACTTGATCAGAGCAGACTGGGAGCTCTGTGGATGGGAGGACAGTTTTAAGGAAATAAGTATCCCTAAATCCCCCCTTGCTACGCAATGGAATGTGAGAGGACCGTGTTTTAGCCTCCACTTGAAGCGCCTGCTTTTCGCCTGTACGGTTTTTGTCACGGGCCCCAGAATTGTCATGGATTTGTGGAGAATGCTCCATGTTGTTTTAACCTCTTGTTATAAGTCATTATTCGTGAGATTAAAATACTGTGTTTATTTATTTTACATTTCCCACTGATTAGAACCATTTATGAATCGTGGGGGTAGTTTCCTATTTACCATAATTGGGAACAGTTTATATAAATATAGTTCTAACTTCTATGTGCTAAACAGACGTAAAATCTAATCATGTATATTATGATGGTTAAATGTGCTCCGTCCACTAACCACTCAAATGAGTCTTGATGCAGGGACACAATTGCTCCTATCCATTTGCTAAGATATCCAGCCCTGTGAGTTTAAGGTTTTATTATTAATTTACCCTCAGCTCAGGGATGGAAATGTTGTCAGTCGCCCCTTCGCTGCCATTGGCTGAGGAGTTTGCGTCAAAGCGTAGCTGGCGACATTTGCTTCTCAGAGAGACATACACCAGCTTCGAATCCTCCAGACGTTCTCATTGGCCAGCCCTCTCTACAAATCCAACTCCAGCAACTTCCCCAGAACAGACTAACAAATCATAACTGCATGTATTTTACCATCAGAAACGCTTTTGCACTATCCATTGGTGCAAGTGTTGAAGATTAAAGTTTTGTCGGTCTTTTTATTCTAATATATCCAAAGCGACAGTTACTTTTGATTGGTTACATTACAGGATTTCGAGAGAGCTATTTTATTCAAGGAAAGGACTGGACAAAGAACTTTCTACTCCGGCCCACAATCGAGAGTAAGTTGCTATTTATTATTATTATTATTATTATTATTATTATTATTATTATTATTATTATTATTATTATTATTATTAGACTATTATAATAGCCTACCATTATATGTATAGGAGTCGTAATTGTTGTACAACAAAAGGATGTATAGGCTACCTATTAGCCTATACGCTATACAGGCAGCATCACACAGCAAAAATATATAACAATAAAATACAATTAACAATATAACAATACAATTAATTCAATAGTGTATTAGGCCCTATTAGGTCACTGTGTTTGTACAGTAATGGTCAATGAACACCTTGCTTAACCTGGAGAAAGAGAGAAACCTCCTGACACATGTTAATCGACTGATAAAACAAAACTCATTAGACCACTGAACACTCTGGTGTGTATTGTGTATGGACCTTCAATTTAATATAATAATAATAATAATAATAATAATAATAATATGCCATTTAGCAGACTCTTTTATCCAAAGCGACTTACAGTCTTATAATGTAAGCCTGAAGCCTACTGTAGGACATTGGAAAACAGTTTTATGACACAATTTCTGTCCTAAATGTGACAATGAATTCTGTAGTTTTTAAACTCAGCGCTAGTTTGTAGCTACATTTAATTAAATCCAACTAAGGTCAATCATTTCAGCCGTAATTTGTCTTCAGCATAAAATTGTCTTGAAGAAATTTGAAAAGCTAATGTTTTTTCGAAACTTTCGATTACTTTCTTCAATCTGCATGCATTCCAGTGAATGTTCTCAGTTGGTGTGAAAATATATGCAGACAAAGGGCGATAATTGAGGAGGCGTGTAGTGAAGCCTCTCTCCGCATGTACAACACCTCCCTCCCCTCTCGGTCCTCCACGGAACGGCCAGTCGTGACAGGGCACGCGGGAGGTTCCTGGCAATTCTCTCAAATACAGCCTAACAGCTCAGAAATTGTGCACTTTTTATTAGCATATGAGCTGTTTTTTTTTTTGTTTATGTAAAATTGCCCACATTTGCTTCAAAAAATAGTTTTCTTTGATACAGGGACAGGTGTGTTTGTCCATAAAAAAAGTCATACAAATAAAATTGTCCAATTCCCATTCTAAAATTGAATATTTTCTAACACTTTACTATCGATTGAGTAGCCTAAAAACCACACTATCTGGAAATGTAATAGTCAAGTTATAGGCCTAATGTTTAAAAATATATATATAGCCTATAGGCTATTATTTAGCATAGTCCTGTAAATTGATTTGTTTCCATTAGGCTATCAATATGTGTAACTACAACGAAAAACGTCTTATGAACTGTTTTATTATGATTCCGCATGGCATATGGATATTAAATAAAAGAGACGAACCTGTGTCTTTTTGTTAACATTTATTTTCTTCAGCCTGCAAAATTATTATTATGACTGAATGCAGTGCAGAGTTGAGGATAGCGTCCTGTAATTAGGCTGCGCGTGCCACCCGGATTATCTCATTAATTCATCAACATAAACATTTATCATAATCAATTATTGGACAGGGTAATAATTATTGAGCGGGTGTGCAACTGGTAGACGAGGTCTGTTTTAAGCGTGACAGATTGAGTGGAGGGAAAAAAAACCGTTGGATGGATATTAAAAAATGCAACTCCGGTCGAATAATCAAGAGACACTGGGGAGGGGGTCACCATAAATGTAATTTAAACCAACTCTCCAGGAAGAAATATTCCAATATTATAGAATTGTTCAATATTTATGAAGATACTCCTGGAAATATGTTAACCTCATTTTAAATCAGACATATGTAAAGTCATTGAGAAAGTGTGTTTTTTTCGTCCGGTATAGCTCTGTTGGTAGAGCATGGCGCTTGCAACGCCAGGGTTGTGGATTCGATTTCCGCGGGGGACCAGTACGAAAAAAAGTATGAAAATGTATGCACTCACTACTGTAAGTCGCTCTGGATAAGAGCGTCTGCTAAATGACTCAAATGTAAATATCCATGCTCTATAGGCTACCTGACAGAAGGGAGTGCATAGCCTACAAATACATTCAAGTTAGTCCTATGCTATGTCATTAGTCAGTTCAACAACTGAATATTTCCGCGGGTAATATTATTTTTTGATTGATTCATAACCAATGTCAATAAAGCATTAATTAATGAAGCATGAATTTACCAATACATTACGTTATTTAGGCCTATTAAAGGAACTAGGCCTATATACTCCAGGCCCTTCATGAATCATCTACATTGTCTAAATAGTTTACTTTATAACAGTTTGATTGGCAGGGCTGATGTTTCCTCCAGCCCAAGGCTAAGGGTTTTTTAATGGGTTTTAACACCTTAAATTAGTCAAGAGGCGTTTTGACAGTGGGAGATAGGGGGAGGGAGTTAGCCTATAACTGCTAATGATGGTTGGTTGCCTGTTTGGTTAACTCAAGTCCCCTAAGCGTAGGCCTCGTTATTAAAACATTTCGATTGCCTTCTGAACGTTATTCAACCTTGGAAATCTAATTACAGCAAGCAATTAATTAGGATGGAAATTGAGAAGAACCTATTGGGCACAGTCGAGTTCCCTACTAGTTTTAAGTTGTTAGCTGAAGTAGCCTTCTTTTTTCACATTTTAATGGCATCCTATTCACATTTACAGCGATTACTGGTGCGGACTAAAAACCAAGAGGCAGGGTGAAAAGCTTGGGCTAGTGAAATGGCTACTGTACAAAATGGGCCCGAGAAGTTGACTGCATTGTTAGCTACTTTTCGCCAAAGGGTTTTTTGTTATCTGTCTTATTTATCGGGCCTACAGTGTCTTTGTCTCGGCAAATGGCCCCCAATCAATTCCCTTATATTTGAGACAATTAGCTGGGCTCTATGTAAATGGTGATCATTGCTGCGTCCTAATGTGTGTGCATTTGAGCGACTGTGTTTTGTTCTTTGAGAGTACTTGTTGCAATTATGGGATGTAGCTTTTTTGGCCTGTGGGGGGGGGGGGGGGGGGGGGGGGGGGGCGTTTGTCAAGATGAGCCACGCTTTCTTGAAGAGGACAGCTGGGGCTCTGGGACTGTTTTAAGAGCACACTGCGGTTGGATAGGGTGTATTGCCAAATAATCACAGCGCTGAGTCCATCAAATGCTATTTAAACTGGATGCAACTTGCTTTGCTCAATTTCTTCTCTTTTTATGATTTTTGGAATAGGCATTCAGCGGCAAAATCGAGACAGCGAGAAAAAGAACCAATAAACAACCAAGGACATCTACGGGCCTTATCCAATTTTCAACATTTTCTCCAACTTTACCCCCCAGTCCAACATTAGCATGATGTCGTATCTCAAGCAACCACCTTACACAGTCAATGGTCTGAGCTTAACGACCTCCGGAATGGACCTTCTGCATCCATCCGTGGGCTACCCAGGTAAGTTCCAGTACTTTTTATGCGTGTGCATGGATGCTTTAATAATTTATGTCAACTATTCATTTAATTAGATTTTCCAATTAGGGTCAAATCACGTAAAGCCATCATGGATTTAATGCGTCTGGTTACCGATTTATATACAAAACATGCATTTTAACCCCAAGGGATTATTGTTATTAATGCATAATCATAACGCTGCAATGAGGGAAGACATCAACTAAATGTTGTATTCTGTAGTACTGACTTGAAAATTCATATTTCACTAAATGTTTGTAAAGTTTCATTGGTCCTGAATTCGTCTTAGCCCTGCATAGCAAATACATGTGAAACAATGTTGTTAAAAGTTACACTTAAAAGGGAATACATTCCCAGTTGTGTCTCAATATCCCTACTTTATATTCTGATCATCTTATGTGGGTAGAATTAACATTTTGAGTTATGTGCATCTGTTTCTTTTCAACAGCGACGCCCCGCAAGCAGAGACGAGAAAGGACGACTTTCACACGCGCCCAACTTGACGTTTTAGAGGCACTGTTCGGCAAAACTCGCTATCCTGATATATTCATGCGCGAGGAGGTAGCACTGAAAATCAATCTGCCAGAGTCTCGTGTACAGGTGAGTGTTGACACAGGCACAAATACTCTATCTACCTATCCCTGAAGAATAAATATCTGCTGTTTGTGGCAACTCAATAATTGGCATGGCATTCATAAAGAGAAGCTTTGAAAAACGAAATAGACTACTACTCAAACTACTTTTACTTTTATTTCACGTGTTGACCAGTGCTTTTCAACATCAGTATAATAACACATCTCCAAAGTCTATGATCAACACAACACACATTTTCAAAATGATCTGGTTCATGTTTGGTTCATGTGTAAAAGCCTATTTACGTTACATTTTGGAAACGGTATAATAGATCTGAGGGCTTTCTTTAAACTGTTTGGGTGATTCATTGTGTTTTCTATTTTCTGTTTATTTTAGGTTTGGTTTAAGAACCGAAGGGCAAAGTGCCGCCAGCAGCAACAGCAGCAGCAAAACGGCGGGCAGAACAAGGTGCGACCAGCCAAAAAGAAGAGTTCTCCAGCCAGAGAAGCGAGCTCTGAGAGCGGGGCGAGTGGCCAGTTCACACCGCCCTCAAGTACTACTTCAGTCCCGACCATCTCAACCAGCACCGCACCGGTATCTATTTGGAGTCCAGCCTCCATCTCTCCACTGGCTGACCCTCTTTCTACATCCTCCTCCTGCATGCAAAGATCCTACCCAATGACCTACACACAGGCCTCGGGATACAGCCAAGGCTATGCCGGATCAACGTCATACTTCGGCGGAATGGACTGCGGTTCTTACCTTACTCCCATGCACCACCAGTTGTCTGGCCCGGGAACAACACTCAGTCCTATGAGCACCAACGCCGTCACAAGCCATCTGAACCAGTCCCCTGCATCCCTCTCCGCTCAGGGCTACGGAGCCTCGGGGCTAGGCTTCAACTCCACGGCGGACTGCTTGGATTATAAGGACCAAGCGGCATCCTGGAAGCTGAACTTCAATGCCGATTGCTTGGATTATAAAGATCAGACTTCATCGTGGAAATTCCAAGTGCTGTGAAAAGAACAATATGCCTATGTAAACTATTCAAACGAAGATAATGATGATAAATCAAACATATAGCCCTGCCATCCTTCAATAAGATATATGCGTAAAAGACTGATTATTCGTGTCGTCGGTAAGGAACTTCGAGAGAGAAAGTGAGAGAGGGGGGGGGGGGGGGGGGGGGGGGGGGGGGGGGGGGGGGGGGGACTCTCGGTAGCGGCTCGTGTTGTTGGCATGATGTTTGGCCCCGTCCAGTAGAGGAGAAGTTATAATTTATTTTAGCACTGGCAAATATATTTTATTTTCATTAACCTCACAGGTTGAAGCCATCTCATCTGTCTGTCAGTGTGTGCCTCTATGCTTACAGTACAGCACTTTTTGGTTAATTTAAGGAAAAACTTGGAGTGGACTCTTAGTAACTTATCACAGCCACGAACAAACCCTTATCCAAGAACAACATTGCTAGAGGAGCCAATCTTTTGGTTAAGTGTTTGGGATGGACAGGCTTCATTTAAGCCTCTGTCAACTTGCCGACCTATTGGCAGAGGAACACTTTGACCAGGATGGTGTGTGGACTGCGCTCCCCCGAGGCGACATGGATTGACTACTTTATTTAAGAAAAAGTGTTTATAAGGAATCAAAATGTAGTTTCTAAGAGACAATCAGTGTGTGTCTTATATAAATGGTACCTATGTGTTTGTTTTTTAAATCTGTGCTAGCCTTCGAAACTGTGATCTGTTGTATTGTATGCCATTTGTGAGCTCCCTCGCATCAGCGATGACTCTCTGCTGTGATTTTAATAGATTTTTTAACTTTTGAACAACAAAAAAAGAATGGATAATGGTTAAATAATGATTATTGCAAGAGACAACCTGACTGTCCAAACCCATGGTACAACATCTGAAGTGATACTGGAAAATAAAATCGATTACTGAGAGCTCTCTGGACTTAGCCTAGCGCGTCCCTATCCATTCATGTTGATTGTGGATCCCTAACATGGCTCCAAAAATGGTGTGACCCCACCGCTGAACAGACATGAATAAAGGTCCTGAAATCTGACCCCCTCATTTATCAATGAACTAAATATGGATTCACTATTGACTGTGTGTGTGTGTGTGTGTGTGTGTTGATACATATTTATGTACTTTACAACGTCATCCGTGGACATCAGATGTGGATTAAAGGTTGTGGAATCGAACAAATACATATTCATAGGAAGAGCCATAATACTATTTATTGGATGAATTGACAGAGAATGCACGTTGGATATGCAAAATACTGACATGACTTCAGCCGTTCAAGCAAAAAAGTCAAGTAAAATCTTGGTAGCCAAGATAAATTGCAGGAGGCCTATGCCATGATATTATTTTACCCCAGATTACGATATTTTCTAAACGAAATTAATGAACGAATTGAATTGAGGTGTGTTAATTAGGTCTGTAATTACTATCTTAGTAAGCAATCATTAGCCACACTTGGCCGTTCAATATCCTCCAATCCGCCTCAAACGGTAAACACGCAGCCTACTGTCTACATTGACCATTGTTATAATAAAGAAAACATACTGTAGCTGGTGTTTCAGTCATAAATTGGAGAAATAATACCGAGTAGGCCTATTTCAAGCTATAAAATGGTTGTTGCTCTTTTCTTTGTCAAGCCCACAGACACAAAACATTGATTTGACTCTTCCACGTTAAAATCAAAACAAATAGGCTACGATGGCAGTGAACAGTCCTGCGTCGTTTATTTTTGCTATACAAAATAAGACCTTAGGGCCTATGTATTTCTGCAACAGCAAGGGTATAGACATTTTTTAATATGTTGCATTTTCTTAGTTTCTGGTCCCTCATTTCAGATAGTCTCTGCGACAGGAATGTGCTTATTGGGAAAGTAGTGTTAATCCTGGCCTCAAAGAGAAACTAATCCCAATATTTTACTAGCGGGGTTTCTTTAGGGCACAGTCATTCAAAGACCGCCGCATGCTTCTACCCAACTCTGCATTCCATAGGCTGGCCTACCGAAACAGTTCGTTTTAAGCAGCCTCTCTACAAACACACTTTGACTGAGTTTTTGTTCAACCCATGGATTGACTCGATCTCTACAAAAATAATGAGGTTATAGCAACAATTCATGCAACATAGTAATAATATGGACGTATTTTAAAAACCTCTAATTGCAGATTGCTAAACTGAAGCTGCCCATATTATGCAAACTTTTTCCGAAATCAATTAAAAGGCAACAAAAGATGTCTGCTTAGTTAAGTTAATCAATTATATTGAAACACAGCTCTCTGGAAAGTTCCACTACGAGTCGTAATTGCAAAGTTTCTAGCTTGCCTTCATATTTTTTGTTGTTGTTTAAACCAAATCCGATTTAGGGGGTGCACTGTTTCTGAGAACAATTGGCACCCTGGAGTCCTCTGTAGCTCAATGGAGAACTTCTACAAAACTAAATCTGGCGAAGGCAAAGAAAGGGGGCGGGGAAAGGGTTTTACCGTCGGCTCCGGGTTATTTCTTAAAGTCTGACTCTGAGCATTTAACGTTATTGTGAGTTGACTGAGGCAAAGTCAGACAGGCAATCGAATCTTTAATTACTCCATGCCTATGCAGTAATTGCTAGAAGTCGAACATTCAATTAGCATCCTTGACATTGCCAATAATCTGTCTTTCATTCGAGTCCTCACTAAAGGAAACACACTAATTAAAACCCGGGTTTGAAATAATTGAACCATTAAAAAGAGGGCTAAAGATTTGGAATTTATTCCTTTTATTCCATTTTATCCCTTAGTCCAGAAAAAATGGTGACTGAACAGTGTGTGCGTGTGTGTGTGCGTGTTGGTGTTCGTGTGTGTAACGCAAATTATAATTATTATCAGCTAAAATAGATGGTTAGTTTAGATGTAAGTGAAAGTTCAGTTGTATCAACCAAAAGGTCTAATTGAATGCAAGTAGACCAGTAATTGTAAAAAAAAAAATGAAAAAAATAATAATAAACGTATATGTAACAATAATCAATGAAACAATAATAATTCAAATGTAAACAATATCTGCAGTTGTCTGTGGCATTCATGTTCAAGAGATGGCGTCTCCTCATGCAGTGTCAACCACTACTGGCCTCTGCCCTTCAGACTGTACAATGTGTTTCCATGTTTGTAATTGAAGTTCATTTGCAGGAAGATTTTTATAACAACGGACAACTTTCGGTCGGCTATAAGCATTTGGTTTGACCATAAATTATTAGTGTTCTTAAGGGGAAATCCTAACGATAAGTGCACGTAATTTGTATATGTGCATAAAGTATGGAATTAATTTTAAGCGCGGGAATTAAGGATTCGGATTGGGACCTAGCGCACAGAGACTGGTTTCTCTCTAGGTGTCTTCACTATTTGCTCTTTGGGGTTTTAGGCTGGGTTTCTGTATAAGCACTGTGACAACTGCTGATATGAAAAGGGCTTTATAAATTCATTTGATTGATTCACAGCACATAGGTTATTCATGAGAGATTCTAATGGAAATATAACAAAAATCAACTAGCTCATACAATGCAATCAAATCCCTTTGTAATTAGGCCAAACTGATGATGACAGGGTTAACATACAGTACCAGTCAAAAGTTTGGACACACCTACTCATTCAAGTGTTTTTCTATATTTTTACTATTTTCTACATTGTAGAATAATAGTTAAGACATCAAAACTATGAAATAACACATATGGATGCATGTAGTAACCAAAAAAGTGTTAAACACATTAAAATATATTTTATAGTTGAGATTCTTCAAAGTAGCCACCCTTTGCCTTGATGACAGCTTTGCACACTCTTGGCATTCTCTCAACCAGCTTCATGAGGTAGTCACCTGGAATGCATTTCAATTAACAGGTGTGCCGGTCATCTCAGTGCAAGAGGCGTCACTACAGACCCTGGTTCCATTCCAGGCTGTATCACAGTCCGACCATGGTTGGAAGTACATTAGGATGGCGCAAAATTGGCCCAGCGTTGTCCGGGTTTGGCCGGGGTAGGCCGTCATTGTAAATAAGAATGTATTCTTAACTGACTTGCCTAGTTCAATAAATAAAAGGTATGGCAAGAACAGCTCAAATAAGCAAAGAGAAACGACAGTCCATCATTACTTTAAGACATGAAGGTCAGTCAATACGGAACATTTCAAGAACTTTTAAAGTTTCTTCAAGTGCAGTTGCAAATTCCATCAAACGCTATGATGAAACTGGCTCTCATGAGGACCGCCAGAGGAAAGGAAGACCCAGAGTTACCTCTGAGGATAAGTTCATTAGAGTTACCAGCCTCAGAAATTGCAGCCCAAATAAATGCTTCACAGAGTTCAACAGACACATCTCAACATCAACTGTTCAGAGGAGACTGTGTGAATCAGGCCTTCATGGTCGAATTGCTGCAAAGAAACCACTACTAAAGGACACCAATAAGAAGAAGAGACTTGCTTGGGCCAAGAAACACGAGCAATGGACGGACATTAGACCGGTGGAAATCTGTCCTTTGGTCTGATGAGTCCAAATTTGAGCTTTTTGGTTCCAACCACCGTGTCCTTGTGAGAAGCAGAGAAGGTAAATGGATGATCTCCGCATGTGTGGGTCCCACCGTGAAGCATAGAGGAGGAGGTGTGAATGTTATGGGGGTGCTTTGCTGGTGACACTGTCTGTGATTTATTTACAATTCAAGGCACACTTAACCAGTATGGCTCAGCATATGTGGGAACTCCTTCAAAACCATTTGCTAAAGCATTCCAGGTGAATCTGGTTGAGAGAATGCCAAGACTGTGCAAAGCTGTCATCAAAACAAAGGGTGGCTACTTTGAAGAATCTAAAATCTAAAAAACACTTTTTTGGTTACTACATGATTCCATATGTGTTATATCATAGTTTTGATGTCTTCACTATTATTCTACAATGTAGAAAATAGTAAAAAATAAAGAAAAACCCTTGAATGAGTAAGTGTGTCCAAACTTTTGACTGGTACTGTAAGTTAAATAACAAAATGTATACTATCTATCAATGCTCATATTCATTAAACATTATTTTAGAAGTCAAATAGGCTGCTAAATAACTGTCAGACCAGGCTGGGCTGTGGCTGGGCTGGCTGGTCAGACAGTGTAGTACAGTAGGGTTGACATATTCAGTTGAGGAGCAACTCCACACAGGGAAACTTCACGCACAACTTTACGCACCTGCACAACATGGCAACCACTAATGACAACAGTTAAAACAATAGACCTAATGAGAATAATAATAGTAATGCTAAAAATAATAATATTAATAATACTAAGAAGACAAACTCACAACCATCACTATCATCTCCAAACTGTCACCTATAGGGCCCTGTGTTTTGCGCAATCATGATTTATGTGACATGCCTGAATTTTAACTATCTAAAGCTTTTTCATCCAACTGTCCCCTTTTCTTTTTATGGCAGATGGTCCAACACCATCCTCAGGAAATTGCTTTCATTTTTGGTGCAATTCTCATTTCTGGATAAGGCTTAAAATACAGAATACAATCTTGCTACATCACATGCTTGTGCAAAACCCATTGCATTTGTAGGCTTATCATTAAAATAAATTAGCCACTAACTATCCATATGCGTTCCTCCATATGAAGGATGTGACTTATTTGCCTTCCTGATGTGTTTATTCATCGAGATCTAAGGAAGACGCAGGATAAATCATTCACCTAAACAATGCACTAATAATCAAGCCTTATTGATAAGTGCAGTGACATTCTGAAAGACACAACAAGCTCACTGAGGATTATAACTTTTGAATGGGATGTTTTAAGAGTGCACAAGTGACGGTGAGATTAGACGCCAGGCGCGCATAGCCCTCATTGAAGACCCCATTCCTACAGTCAAGACTCGGAGTTTTAATCAAGAGCAAGCGGCACTGAAGAGCATATGGGACCGGCAGACGCTGCATTAATCCATCCTATCTTTTGTCAACATTACAACAATAGGCTGCACTTAGCCTACAGCACTCCTGGTCCTGCCAGCCATGCACCACACCTCCACAACCACGGTCGGGACAGCCCACTCCAAGTACTCACTGGAGACGCCCGGATGC